GAAAAATTACTGTTCATTTTATAGTTAGAGGGAGCGGTAACTTGTACCAACGAATCAGATTTGGAGAAACCCAGAGGTGACGTCCCACACGTTACGCTACGAGTAGAAGATGAGTATCCAATAAAACGACACTCATCAATTCTAGACTTAATGAGCTCAAACTTTTCCCACAAGGAGCCGAGATTTCTACTCAATTCCGAGAAACCATAACAGGTCTCCGTGAAAAGTTTATAAAAATCAATGTCCCGCTGCCTACAGTCAGGACATGACCATCTTAAGCCTTTAGACGGGTCAGCGACTGCGTCAGCAGCACGGCCGAGAATACCGGCACACTTTGCATGACCAAAGCGCTCGCAGAGCCAACAAGAAACGAATCTATCAGAATCTGGGCCAGATTTCGTCCGACAAGGTGTATATAAACACTCCATGTCCAGTCAAAAAGACAGTTGTGGATTATGAAGAACGGACACAAAAATCACTAAAAACAAATCCTGAACATAAAAATTTACCAACCAAATTTGTGCAAAACTTCTCTGTTACGTTGACACTGTAACGAGAGATCAATAGCAACACAAACTCCAAACAGCGAAAAAATAACAGAGAAAAAAGAGAGAAAACAAAAAAAAAAAAAAAAGAGAGATTTATATCAGAGCTCAAAATTTTTGTTTGCAAAAATCAAATGAATCAAAGCGTAAAGGAAAAATATTTCTTTTACTTTGAATTCACTCACTTTCTTCTCAAAGCATACTATAAGGCAGAATAGCCACGAAATTCAACAAAAAATTAAAATATTAATTGCCGAAACAAAATATAGACGACTATACCGCGCGACCGAGTTGCCAGACTTTTGTAGAGGGTATTGGTTTGGTTATTAGCTGTTTGTAGAAAATAATGCTTTATGTAAAATTTAAAGCAATCATTCAATCATTCTTTTATATATATTTTATTTGTGTATACATTTATTTAATATAAAATGAAAATAATTTTTCTAATCTTTTACTTGAACTTTATACTTCTTTAATTGGATATTTTCTCAAAGAAGCCGATAGCCTTAGATGCTAGTGCTTTTAAGAGTTTAGTCTTAGAATTTATTTCTCTGGCGAAATTAATAATAATAATAATAATAATAATCAAAGTAATCAATATTTTCTAAGTGCAAGTTAGATGTTAATTTAATTACAAAATTATTATTTAGATCAATTTAGTATACCTTAATTTCATTCCACCGGGTTTTAGAAGAAAAAAGGTAGGAATATGATTGTAGTTGTAGATGTAAAATGAATATTTACAGTGCGACCTTTTCCTTTAGCTTTAACGGCGGGATGGCGCGAGAAAACCGTTTGCATTCTTTTCCTTTTATTTATTAAACTACGTGCATAATCTTTTGGCAGTTATCTGCTAAAACCATTGTTCTACCGTTGTAGAATTTCTACGATATTTGGGCAAAAATTGAGCCAAGTTATCACAAGTATCCATTGGAGACAACTTTGCATCGTTAAGAGAGTTCTTCAGTTCTTCCCCGCCAAGCTCTTTCACTTTTGGCCAGCCCATTAAACATGGATATGGAGATCAGGCATTGTCATGATAAAAAGTGAAAAAGGCCTTTTGTATTGAATAATTGGGGACGCGGACAACCATAGCTGCATGAAGATGAAAAGCAATTTTTTAAAAATATGATGCATATACAAGTGTACGGCAAGTATGGGTTGTGTTCCACTATAGTCTTTTTATTAATCGTCTCTTGTTGTCTGAAAACTTTTGCTATCGCAAGATTTGTTTGAAGGGTGTGAACTTATATTTAAATATAACTAGCAAAGACACAAATCAAAATTTTTTTGCAGACTCTGTAAACCGGTAACAGGATTCTGTTAAACGATCGAACGTTAAAATCGTGTTTGTCTGTCCGTGCAAAGCAACAATTGTTTACATTTTTCAATAATTGAACATGTATTTGTATAAAATTGGTGCCTTTAAAGAATAAGCGTATAAAATTGGTGCCTTTAGAGAATAACCGTATATATGTTCTCAATAAATTGTAAAAATGCCAACCATGTAAGGAATAAGCGTATATGTTTGTTTATATTGGTAAGAAACATCTTACCCCTCGTTGTCCACGCCTTAATGACAGTCATCTTACCGGTACGTTTTGTCTAACATGCCATAAAGTAACGGTTACCACACTAAAACTAACTATCATAGTATTCAATATAAGTAAGACTTGTTAGGTATGTTTGAGTAGAGTTTTGCACGTCATTGCATAACTGAGATGTGCTAATTTTGTGGTTAATTTGCACCAAGTAAAAAAAATCTTACGCATCGTACATGTTTCCAATTAATGCGACAATTTGACCCAGCTGAGTTACGAGTGCTTAAAACAACTAAAGAGTTCAAAATTCCAATCATTGTTCTAAATTATCTTTGAAAATGGATTGCTACCGTACAGGAAAATGGTTAAAATAATTGAAAGAATGGATGCTCGATACTAAGTATTTCATTCACATAAGTTGGGAAACGTTGATTCGTTCGTTTTAATTTGCACGTCGAGCTCTTTTTAAGTAACGCTCGTTGAGATATGATCCAAAGAGCTTAATGTTCCTTTCATTACTTACTTAGTTACACTAATACCTGATTATGCCTCTGTTGTGAAGTCTCCTTCCCACAGTTATGTAGATTAGTTGAATAGCAATTCTTTCTGTTTCCCCTTAGGAATTTGTTTCTTTGCCTACTTATGAACGTAGGCTACTTCTGTTATCCTTACTGTCACTTGAGAAACGTAGATTTATCCTATTCCAAATTACAAATGAGGAAATAGACATCACATTGAGAACTACAGGGCCAACATCATGCTCAGTCTCTTACCTAAATTTTATGAGCGAATGGTTAAACAGCATCTAGCTTTTGCTATCAAATCTCGTATTTGTTCATTCCAGCTTAGCTTTTGGAAACGAAGATCTATTGTCACGAATCTCTTAAACAGTCCTTAAAATCAGGTGTTTTCCCTTTCTGTTGGAAGAGCAGTTTCTTCCCTTCGCTTCATAAATGTGGAAATAGACATCACGTTGAGAACTTTAGACGCCTTATCAAGTTAAATGTTTTACATAAATTGTTTGAGCGAATTGTTGCTCAGCATTTAGCTTTTGCTATCAAATCTTGTATTTCTTTATTCCAGTGTAGGTTTCGTATAGGCAGATCCACTATTGCGAATCCATTATTGCGAGTTTGCTGTGTTTTCAAGGCTTCTTCCAATAGCTCTCGCACGGAGTCCGTATATACTGATTTTAGTAACGCGATTGACTTAGTTAACCATAACTTAGTTAACCATAACAGATCATTCATTTAACTTCTGTTTAACTTCGTCATCTCGAATGAATTTGGCGTGACATCTGGCGTCCCTCAAGGCAGCCACGAAAGATCTCTTTTGTTTAATTTATACATTAATGACCTCCTCTCTGTGATTAAATCAAGCCATATCCTAATGTCCGCTGCCGTTGTTAAATTCTTTTCTTCCTTCTCCTCGGAATCGCATTCGTATCAGCTTCAAATTGACTTCAATAATTTAGGTACGTTTAGGAAGTCATCCAATGTTGAGCATTTCTTTGATTCACTCAGGTTGAAAAACGAAAATTGGTTCATCGAGGGGATCTTTTCGACCAAAGTTACCGTTTTTAATTTACACATTGAGCTCTCTTTAAGTAAAGCTAGGGCTGCTTCATTAAGAGATGGTCCAAAGAGCTGAAGGATACTTACATTACAAAAAGACTATTCATGTGCTTAGTTAGACCAATACTTAAGTGCGCCTCTGTTGTTTGGTCTCCTTCCTATAGGTGTTATTTCGATTCAATTAGATCAGTAGTCAAAAGTAGTTCTTTCTGTTTGCTCTTAGGAATTTCGTTTGATGCCTCTTGTCTCTTTGCCTCCTTATGAAAATAGGTTGCTTCTGTTATCTTTACTGTCACTTGAGAAACGTACATTTATTCTTGGTGCTTCCTTCTCAATGAAGTTAATTAATGGCGCAATCGATTCGTGCACATTACTTGGTGAGATAAGCTTTAATATGTGTAATAACCCGCTTTCTTTGGAACTTTATTTTCATTAAGCTAAATCAATGCAAATATAACTATGATTGCCAAGCTTTTGCCTGTTTCCAATGGTTAAGGGGATAACTTCCATTCGCATATAAAATAAATAAAAGAGGGCCAAGATGACCGCTTACTCTGGATTGGTAAGAAACCATCAACACCCGTTGGGTACACACAGAGGGATAGACTGAACCAGGCTATCATACTGTTCGAAAACCAACACGATGTAATGTATAGACTAACAGTCTATGATCAACTCTTTCGAAAGCTTTGGAAAAGTTTGTGAAGATAACATCGGTGATTTGAAAATGCTTTTTAGGTTGGACTCCAGAAGATTAGTGGCAGGAAGAAACCGTGCTGACAGTGCGATATATTTTACCCTGAATAAGTCTTTTTGTTATCAGCAATTCAAGTAGTTTGGGCAGTGCACTAAGCTTGGAAATTCCCCTATAGAACCACGGTTATAAAGCGGAAAAATAAAACTATTTTTGCAAACCGATGGGAAATGACATTTCAATGTTGGGGAATAGTATAGGAAACACCATCAGGACTAGGGTTGTTAGAAGGTTTCAAAAGTGACAATGATATAAATATATTTTCTTTGGAGAAGGACATAGACGGAAAAATATCAATCTTGTCGAACTTATTGAACAGTGATAATTATTAGACGAATAATTTGAAAATTGGTGGACTTCTCCAAAGAAATCAGAGTAAAAAGTGCTCGAAAAGGGCCCGACATGGGCGCTTATTACAGACGCATCGTATGAGTCGAACTGTGGCATTGTGGCTCTAAGGATTGAAAACTACTTAAACGTTCAACAAAAAAAAAAATTGATATTAATTATTGTTTTTCTTAAATACATATTTAAATATGCATAAATTAGAGATGGCTTTTACAAAAAACTATGCAGCTATGCTAACGTTTGTTAAGTTGTTGAACACGCCACTCTAATAATTCATATTTATTTCTCAGATTTTCAATAGTCTCATTTAGAGCTTCAACACGTTTTTTGGCATCTTCATGGTCCGTTATTAGCAAAGGCTTACTGAGAAGACCACTTTGCAGTGTTGCATTTCGTATTTGCTGACGCAAGCGCATCCGTTTATGAGTTAAACTATCCAGTTTCACACGTACTAAGTCGCGTTTTTCGCAAAATTCTTTCAAAGCTTCGCGCTGCATTGCGGTCTGTTGAACTAATATAGATCTCTTTTTACGCATATGTGTTATCTGCCCAATATCTTTATTCAATGTATTACGCATTTTCACCAAATCTTTCTCGCGTTCTACGACGTATTTTATAAAATAAGAAATTGTAAAGAATTACGTTAAGTTTTTTCTTAATGAACATGCCTTGTATTTTGCCATGAAGAACTGAAATATCATGTTGTATGCTTCGATAGTCACTGATATTTAAACCGTCGCCTAGATTTTCGGCATCTGCTATTTTCTAAATTAAATATTTGTTATTTGCCTTAAGCCATTGCCTACGTACACAACTTACCTTTTTTATGCTAAGAATTATTTGCTGCTTTGCTATGATTTTTCTATGTAACAACGAAATATTTTTTCGTTCACGCGCCATATTATTCATCGGTCCACGCATGCTATTCCTTAAATGGTTACAATCACCACGAATTATATTGTGTAAAATCATATTCTCAAAGTTCTCAAGCTCATTTTGATTGAGTGCCTTTAAGTCTTCCAATTCTTTCTTAAGTTGTAGAATGAGATTTTCCGTTTTTGCTTTCACTGTCTCTTCTTCTGATAATAAATTATCCAGGCGTATCATCTGTTCGTAAAGTTTTTGATTGTAATAGTCGGCCACTTTGGTAGATTCTTCGGTAATTGTACGATATAGTTTTTTACGATTATAATGTTCAACACATTTTCGATTCAGTTGCGTTCGTAGCCAATTCTCATGTTCTTGTTCACTTCTCAATTTAAACAATTCTTTCATAAGTTTCTTTTTATTCAAATTGTTATACAATTGATTGATTGCATTATTACGTTCGGAAGACTCAATGGCCATTTTGATAACATCTACTAAAAATTCGCCCATAGATTCTTCTATAATACGTGTCTCTTCAATTTTTTGCCACGCCTCAAAATCAAATTGCGCTGTAATTAAAACTGGTTCTTCAACTTTATCTACAAACATGGCCTCAACATTTGATTCCTCTTCTACCTTTTTCAAGGCAAGTTCGGCGGCCTCTTCTTCGCTTCTATACAAAGCGTCAAGCTCTTCATACCAAAAGTCTTCTGATCCAGGCGATGATGTAATTTTATGTTCAGTATCCGGCCCGGTTGCAGGCTCAGCCATGCTATCAATTTTGGTTTCACTTTTTTCTTCTGCCTCTGTTTCATATTCTCTTGGTTCAGTAATAACTTTCTTTCGCACTTCGCCGGTTAAAGGGTCAACAAAAATGCCTCCTTCGTAATCTATCGATTCCTCTTCTTCTTCAATTACCTCTGCTTTATGTTCGGCTTCCATATCTTCGCTCTCTTCCAAAAAGTCACTTAAAGACGGAAAACTTTCCAATAATTTGAAAAAGTCTTTCTCCGGAATGAGCGTGTTTTGTCTTACATAATCCAATTCTCCTGGCTGTAAATCTTCTTCGCTTTTGGTGTCAGTATCCAAATCGATATCTTCATCAGTTTCGACGTCGTCCTCTTTTACACTTACGTCAGTACTGTAATCCAAGCTTTCGTCGTCCGTCTGATCATCATTATCCTCATCGCTGCTTTGGCTCTCAGTATCTCTTCGGATGAATTTGTACACTGCGGAAACTTTCCTTTTTGGTCCAGTCGCACGTCTATGCATTGTCCTAGTTTTTGCTTGTTTTCACGTTCAATAATTGAAAATGTCAAATAAGTACATAAAATATATACACAGTGCGTTTGCGTAAATGTAATAGTATAAATTAAAAATTGTTTATTAAAAATATATCTGCAAAAGCAAGAACGCTAGAAAACCTTTCAAAGACTCGTTTCCCTTTTTATTCAGGCTGTAAATAATACCATTTTAGAAATATTTTTTCAAAGCTTGCTGCGATTCTTCAGTTAGTTTGCAGAGTTTAGTTTGAAATTTGTGATTTCAGTTTTCGTCACTGCTATAGCGCAAATTGGTCAACGACGTGTTATATTTTTCCACCTCTAAAAAGTCATAGGAAAAAATATACGCTCGTTGGAATACCCCTTTCTTGCGATGAATTTTTTTTTTATTCGCTTGGTGTTTGATTATTTAAAGAATTCTGTTTTATTTCAAAAGTTTTGTCAATATGTGTCGTATAATTTACATGGATATTTAATAAAATGCGTTTAAAAATTTAGCAAAATAGTCATGTTCTGATTTATTTTCTTCATGCAATTGCATTCTGTAAGGTATTTTTTTTTTTATTGTAATAAATAAAAAGCATCATGTAATGAGAGTGATAAGCTTCTTCTCCTTCTGCGAATTAATAAATCAACAGGGTATGATTTACCGAGTTGAGTAAGAAAGGTTCGATGTGAACACGAAGATCTTTTTTTATATATATAAACAAAGTTGGCGTTTATATAACAAATATTTTTTGCATGTTAAGACATCGGTTACGTAACTAAAATGGGGAGTGGTCTTTCCCAAAATTCAATTAATTTTTGTTCTTTTTTTGTTTTATTTTCTCGGGTATTGATGTGATATGTTCTGGGATTTTATTTATTTAACGAATGATTTCGAGATGATAAAGTCTCGTAGTATAGGACGTGATGGAGTACAATAACTTACGAAGCAGGTGAAACGTTGCAAATTAAAAGAATATGCGAAGGAATAGATTCATAGGTTGGCGGTGAAGATTTGTATGTTTTGATAACAAACTTTAAAAAAAGAAAAGGTTGTGGGACAAGCCGCCAAATTGCATGAGTGCAAAATGTCCAAATCGTTGTGATTACGAAGGCCACATATAGAGAGTTTGCGAAGCAGGCGATGGCGAATAGGTAGCGATAAATTGTCGTAACGCATATATTGGTCGTTTGTTATTGCCATAGAATGAAATTTCATATTTTTGGTCTTTAAGTGAACGTAAGTTAGGAACAAGCTAAGAAATTTATTGGCCTTTATCAATGATCAAAAGAAAATATTGATGAATTCTTGTCTGATGTATATATGTTTATTCGTGCATCGTTCCCAATACAAAATAGGTTTACTTTAACTGACGATTCATAAGGTATAAGTTCAGTGGGTGACTTGCGAATTATAATATAAATTCGAAACTTAGTTGGGAGTTCAATGTGGAGTCATACTCTGACTTTTGGTGTTTAAGCTATGAGATATAAATTGGAAACTGATAACCTCTAGTGACAATGATTCTATTATTTTCGAAGCAATAAAACTCGAAGTTTGCTTATTGGTTAAATATGACTTTTTGACGGAGAAAAAGCATTTCTTAAAAGCAATTCTAAAGAATATATATATATTCTGCAAATAATCATCGCATTCTTTTTTCTGGGCATATAAGCGACATTCCTCATTAGCCTACTCCCTTCAAACCCAACACCCAAAAAAGAAAAAAAGAAAAGAAAAAACTTACGACGAATCTTCTTCATCGACAAGAACCATTTGTTATTGTTTTGCTGACACCGATACTCTTGAAGTGCAGCGGACGCCCTGCACTTCTGATATGCAATTATATCAGAAAACATTAAAAAAATCCCAAAAATTATTTTCGATAATGAAAATCTGATGCCGGAAGAGATAACATCGTAAATGTACTGAAACGCAGTGTATTTACTATTTTGTTTTCTAGAGGTTAGAAGATTTTTTCACACGGCGTATGTGGCGTCATTAGACTTTTGAATCGACAATCTGTTGAGTGGAAAGTGGCAGCAAATATGGAAGCAAAACGATTGGATGGATTAAAGTTCGCATTGCTGGCCCACGCACTGTCTTCTACAAACGTGGTGCGTTGTTTGTTTGCGAATCTTGATCCTGAGTTATCGTGCGACAATCAAGTCGAGTTCAACCCTCACACCCATTACATATTAAAAGAAGCAAACACACGAGTCAGATGGTGAGAGCATTGCGAAAACTGAACTGTACTTGACGGGTGTTTGCAAATGTTTCCGTTGAAAACGGATTGAAATGTTAAGGAAATGTTAGGGTGTTTGCATCAGTCCAAAAACGCTCTATGTTAGCGAATAAAGTGAGGTATTGCAAAAAAAAAATTTACTTCTTACTTATGAATTGATGAACGTAGTTGTTGGAACGTGCTCTTGAAAGTACTGCAAAGTTGCCATTCTCTAACTTTACTGTTGCTGTTGATGCTGTTGATTTTGTTGCCTTTAGGGACAATGTTTTACTTGTTTCTTAAAAGTTTTTAATTAAATTTTCCTGCTTTAGTTAATAGTTTCCTTTGTACCTATGCATTTTATGATTTTGCAAACTTTACATAAATTTTATAAGAACTTATTGAAATGTACTTGATATAAATTGCTTCAGTTAAAGTATTTGTAACTAATAATGATTACAAAAAAACAAGAAAATAAAAAAATATCACAATTAAACAAATAAGAAGATACTATTCGGTTTTATATTCATCACCTTTAACGTAAAAAGAAAAAAAAAAAAGAAAACAAATAGATTATATTATAATATATAATAAATTTCTATACGTTATAAAATCACGGTAGCATGTTTTTGCAATTTTAATAGCATTATTTTTGAGAGGAGTAAATTGATGCCCACACATTTCAATCGTTATTTTCATTTAGTTGCTTATAGCCCACTACCATAAACAGCTTGAACTGAAACTATAACAACAGTTTGAGGTTTCGTAAAATGATTTTATCAATATAAGATATATTACCTTAATTTATTTTAAGAAATTTTTTTATTTTTTTAACTGTTTATCAACGATGACGTGATATTTCGCATAAACAAACTTATCAAGATCTACATCTTAACGAAGTAACCACGCGATTACGGTAAGGAATATTTCTTTTCATTGTATCAAAAGTAATGATTATACCCCACACCCCACTTAAGTTGGTGCGGAGGTATCTAACACCCAGAAGGGCTTAAGATAGATTTATTATATTAATCATTCAGATCTAACCTTCTCTGTTCTACCGAAAGGTTGCCATATTCCTAGATACTGATTGAAGTATTTTGACGCAACGACGAATCCTATTGAAAATAATTTGGTTTTAATTGTTAGTCTGTTTTGGTTCAGTTTTTCGAACACTCCCCGCACTCCAAACACGTTTTATTTTGAAAAGTTGTTATATGGAAAAAAGTTATAATTTTCAAAATTAATCAATAAAATTTGTTGAGTAATGATATTTCGACATTTTAAATTGTTATGAAAAATTTGTTTTGGCTAGCGCAGCTTTTTGAATCCTCTTTCATGGAACCATGCCTAAGGAAAACTGATCTTCAATATTTCGCGGTGAAAGTTGGTTCATCATAAATGGACAAAGATATCATCTCAGGGAATTTGAACAACATAGGCCTTTTCTTCGGATTACACGACTAGGATTGTCACTAAACGTAAACCTTTATATGCCAAAACGGCCTAAATGTGAAAGTTTTATGATGAAGGAGTAATTTGATGTAGAAGTTAAGTGGACCAAATTTGAATCAGGTGGATCCGTTTCTTGGACCCTACTCCATGTAAGATTTCACATGAAAGGCAAGCCTTTCAGAAAAAGATTTAATTTTGAATATTTAATGATGAAAATTGGTTATTATTTGTTTTTGTTTCATAGAAGTTTATTTCCGTCAACTGAAGTCCTCCTAGAATTTCTTGTCTTAAACATTTCCAGATCGCTTTGTTAAATACTCCCATTTTCTTAATTTCAGAAATAAGGCCAACTAGAGCTCATTATTGTGTAATAGGAAGAAACAATTCACAAGTAAGTCAAAGATTATTTTTATTGTTATAGTAGGTATTCATTTTACTATACTTCAAGCCTACGGATACGGAGAAAATCATTCGACCATTGCCGAGTTTGTATACGGATCAATATTTTTTGTAGCAACAGGATTCCATAGAATTCGCGTATTGATTGGAACCACATTTCTATTAATTTTTCAATTACATCATATAAATAATCACTTTTCGAAAAGTGACCGCTTTGGTTTTGAAGCCGAAGCTTGGTACTGACATTTTGTAGAAGTTACAAATTTAGAAATCACGCGTGTTGACAGCGCATGTTGTGTTTTTACCAAATTTGAAGATGATATTTGGACACAGATATACAAACGGACAGACAAACATGCTTAGGTGGACTCCGAATTTGACACTGGTCAAGAAAATATATATTTTAGAGGTTCGTAAGCGTCCTTCTGCGTATTGCCTGTGCCTCGATTCATCGCTATTTAAAAAAGTCAGTGCGGCTAAAGCGAAAACGCTTCCTAGGCTTATGAAAAAATTAACGGTTTTATAGTGAAGATACTCAAAAATCGCGGTTATTAATAGAAAGTGACTTCACGCAAATGGTTTCCATGCTGAACATGCGACCTGTTCCGGTCGAAAAATTATTAATAAGGTCGTTTAAATATTTATAAAAAGCGTATGAGACCGACACATTTCATGTTATGCTACCGCTGTGGATATATACATTGACTAGAAAACTGTTTTGGAAATTGATATTTGAGTATCACATTAATTAAGGGGGAAAAATTTAATGCGAAGCAAATCGTGGTATTTTTGAAGCATTTAATAAGAGGCGCTAAAAAACATATGGCAATAGTCAACGAATGACGTTGTGCTCCTCGAAGGACGAAGAGACTTGATTTGCTGTTTGCCACTAATTTCGCAGTTACCCTCAGTTACTATTTTTCGCCAAATAAAGAGATGCCTTTACAAGTTATTGGAAATATAGATTTAAAGCATACAGCCCTCGCTGTTATGCATGAACAAACAAGAAAAAATATTCTATATATAACAAAATAATCGAGGCTGAGATTAAATATTTTTTTGAATTATTTTCATTTAGTGTATAATAGTAAGAAAAAACCTTAGAATATATTAGAAGAGAATGCCTTAATGCTTCACCAGAGTGAATGATCAATAAGAACATGATAGCGGAATTTTTGAATATATGGCTATACCCGTTGAAAATAAAATCAAAATAATATAAATGGGTAGATAAATGGTGGACCAACTCTTTAGGTCTGTAAATGAACTAATGGAATATTAAATTCAGTATTCTCAATACTTAGAGATTTCGCTTCCAAACGCCTCACATTACCAAGGTCACGGGATGTTTTTAAACATGGTCGCGGATATTTTTATGATCGCGGTGGATTGAAAATGTAAAGGTTTAATTTTGGGAGCAATGTAAATAATTTATTTACTTTATAATTAAATAAATTTTCCATCAGATTTTATTATTATATTATTATCATTGTTATTATCAAATACCAAATATATTAAATACCAAATTCAAATTGTACATGTCATTTATTCGTAGACGTAACAAAGTTCTAATAACGTACATTCGTATATTGTACGGACATTGTTAAAAGTAAACGATTCGTTATCATACGTGTCTCAAAGTTTTCCCCATATAGCAGGTTGGAGCCTTTTTGTGTTATACTTGCCATTCCACTGTGTCTTCTCATAGCCGCATAGAATATGTCGTAGGCATGGCGGAACGCCTCGTGGACTTCACCATTTGGAAACGCCGGTCGCAGATATTTGGAGCTGCGGTTCTTGGATACTTGGTGACAACTCGATCGCTCACCTCTTTGCATTGACTTGAGTGTATTAAGTAAACTACGTTGCAACAATTTTTTCAGTCACTTTTCCACGTTTTACAGTTCATTTGCATTGCGATTGTATGCATAGAGAGCTGAATATGCAAAGCTTTTAGATGGTTTTCCAAAATTTCTTCTCACCACCTCCCAAACAAAAGAAGAAATTTTGTTTTGAGAAGCTTCGGAAAAAATATTTCAATAAATAATATTTGCTGAGAGATATCAAAAAGTGATGTAGTTTAATTGGACTTATTTTCATTTATTTAAATTTCACAAGGAATTTCTGTAGATGTAAATTGTATGCTTGAACAATTTATAAAATTCCAAGAATTCCACTTCGAAAATTGCAACTTGTAGGATACTTGAACGGCCGTCAGGAACAGAAACAGACAAGCTTAGACCTATTCAAAAAGTGAACCAAACGGATCGACAACAATTTTTAATGAGGAATTGAATTGCATCTGTACACTAAGTTAAGTAAGAAATATATAATGTTTGCAGCCGTACTCCTTAGTTTCGCTAAGTTAAATTTTTTCATTTCCTTTAAAATCTTTTACAAATACAGCCTTCTAGTCTCTGACACGACAATAGAAACATTAACTGAAGATACAAAATCATAGCAAATTCATTACATAAGTTACGAAGAACAGGTCTCAAACCCTAGCCCACCAATCGCTGCGGATAATAAAATAAAATCAAGATCAATCATCCGACAGAATGGTCAACCAACCTGACTGTGAATTTGCCGCAAGACAATCAGAAATACGATGTTTCCGCTGCTGAATTAGCCCCCAACTCCACTCAACATTCCAACAAATCAAAGCATATCAAAAGGGTCTTTATATAAAAAAAAGAAAAAACCGTCCGAATACTTCACCGTCCCGAGCCAGAAAAGAAATCTGAAACGCATTTTCCACCATATTCATAAAATTGCCAGGATCGATGATCAATTTATAGAAAGGTTTTGGTTGACAATTGTTCGCTTTATATAAATCATTCACTTGTTTCAGTATTATATTGATTTTTTCAGCACCACGACCTTTGTTTTCGATATGTTGCAAATCCTCTACCATGAAAAAGCACCTATAGCATAAAAATTGAACTCTCAAAATTACCAAAAACCAATCGACATGTGTCTGAAAATGAACAAGTACATATGTTTTTTAATAAAAGTAAACAAAAGATAAGAAAAATTTTATTTTGTTTTTGTTTATATTTGACACGTTTGCATGAAATTTTTTACAAGAAACTACTGTAGAATAATCACCTGATTAAATAAAATTGTTTTTTTGTTTACAAAAAGCAAATACCACTAAAATTTGAAAATTTAACAATCGCTCAAAATGAATGAATCATAATGTAGAACTTAATTTGTGGAAAAAATTACAGTGTAGAACTTTTCTTTTTTCATTCAGTGTAGGATAATAAGCAGTAAGAATTATCAATTATCGAGTTTCGACGAGTCTGCGCAAACAATGGTATCACGTAAGATACGGCTTTGTGCTTTGTGGTATAGAAGGCCAGGGGATTGATTTCACTTTCTATTCTGAAGAACGAATGCGACAAAAGCGGGCAGTTGAGGTAAAGTGTTCAGAGTGAACGAATAGGAAAGCTTTGTTTCTCATGCCTTTGGGCGACCAAAGCGAGACACATTGTGTACCTATGGTGATACGGAAATAAATTGCAAAAACTTGGTTAAGAGGTTTAGATGCATCCACCGTGTAGCTCAGACCCATCTCTATTCAACTATCATTTGTTTTGTTACCCATGGAACTTAATTACGCAAAAAGCTGACGTCAAAAGAAGTGTATGATTCAGTTTTCAGGACACC